ACTTGTAGAGATTATTTAACATTTCTGAGCCTCCCTTTCCTTCTCTGTAACAGGGGAATGGAAATTCTCATCTCACAAAGTTGTAGTAAGCATTACATGGAATAAGGTGTGGGTGGTGCCCACCTGAGGTTTTCTTAAGTTCAGCTAAATGTGCGGACTCACAGCACTACCACCAGCCACGTTTCTCGCCTTCGGGGCAGTGGCAGGAGTTCCCCTCAGCAGAGGACCTGCAGCAGTTCAAGCAAATGGCAGGTCACATACCCCTCTGGGGACTCTTGTCTCCCCATGTGACACGGTTCCAGGTACAAAGTGCAAGATTCATATCTGGCAGGTGCAGGAGCTACCCGGAGAAGAAGCCTCATGCCCTAAACAGCCAATAGCTCTTGTGATAATCCTTTGGCATAGTTTCTAGGGTTCCCCACGAAGCCCTACATTCAGGGAAGTTTAAAGCACGGCATCCTCATCTAATATTTACAGCTCATTCAAACTTCTTCCTAGTCCAGATGCAATAGACCAATCAAGGATCATTTTTACCATAGTCAGTGTTGCCTAGCAATGTAATCAATGCCTACCATCTACCTGGCTTCCAGGGTAACAGGTCTAGATGGTTAAGCCAAAGGTCGGATTCTCAAGCAAAGGAAAATATTTGTTAACCCTTTCATCCGAGTATGCTGCAGACACAACCAGGGGCCTCACATGTTATAGTTATCAATGCTCCTTTATTTAAGAGCTTACACTATGAGTCAGGCACTGTGCCTGACACTGGGACTCCAGTGGCAAGTTAAACATATATGGTGCCTGTCTTCATATTGTTTCCTACACCTGTGATGCCCTTAGTTCCTTTCAATGCCTGGAGAACTCCTATTCATCCTTCAAAGGTCTGCTCAGATGTTACCTCTTCTCTGGAGTCCAGCGGCACTCTACTTCCCTAGCACTTTGTACATATTGCCCTGAATTCATGGATTGGTTTTGTGAGTCCATGAATCCCCTAAAGTAATATGCAGATTTTGTGTGCAGGTGGGAATGTATGTTTGAAGAAAGGGGCTAACACTTTCATCGGATTTTCAAAGGGGTCTGAGCCATCGCCTCCCTTTCCCCCCTCAACTCCCAAGCATTTAGAACTGCTGCTCTGTTATGAGCATTTATTATATTCTGGTTTTGGTATTTGTTCATAGATGTATGTTTCCCACTAGAATGTGAATACCTTGACAAAGGGACTATATGTACTAATATTTTGTGTCAGCAGAACACCTGACTCCTAGTAGTAGACTTTTAGAAAGTATATGTTGAAAGAATTGATTCTTAATCTCTTAATAGACTCAGCAATCTGAATGATGGTAGTGGTACAGCATTTCCTAATTTAAAAGGGAATGTTCTTGCTTCTAGTAAACTAAAATCAGCCTTTCTTGTTCCTACTTCTGTCCTCTGGAGTGAAAATTAAATGTCTACCCTCTTCCATGTTGTAATTGCCCTTTTATGAGACTCAGAGTTGATTGGGGAAATCAAAGAAAAAGGGTTCATGGGAGGGAATCATTTAAAAATGATACATTTGCATCTTAAATATTTTCATTTAAAACATGGCAAATGTACATTAACGTACTAGTATTTTAGTATGGAACTAATATCTTTTTGTTGAATATGAGTCTGCTGCTGTGGACTCTTAGCTTTCTTCACTTATGCCATCCTAAATTCATTATCCAGAGTTTCCAGTTTAGGTTTCTTTAAAGTGGAATGAGAAGTTAGACACTGAAGCAGTCTGATTGCAGAATTCTTCTAGATTTTTATTCTTTTTCCCTCGCCTCAGTTTTTTTTATAGTTGTATCTCCCACATTCCACCAGTGATTTTGTTTTTTAATAACTGAGTTTCCTCTACTCTGAAATGTTTAGTTTTCAGAGGAATAGCAACTCATATTTCCTTGGTTTACATGTTTGATTAAATTATGTAACTAAAATAACATGTAACAAACTAACGTGTTGGATTAAATTATGTAACTAAAAAAAACATGCATAAGTGGCATACACAGGTCTGTGATCAAATACAGTTGATCCTTAGCAGGCAAATGGTCCAGTCGATTGGAGCAGAAGCGAGCAAGTATTCAGGGTGCTTTAAGCTTTCATGATATTCAAAGGCATTAGGAAGACCAGAAGCATGTTTGTATTCTGGTTGTTTTTTTTGCGGGGGGATAAATTATTTTGAAATATCCTCATCATCCTGCCCACATTTCTTCTCCCCTTAGACCAATTTAGATTAAAATAGAGGTAAATTTAGATTAAATCTTCCCAATTTAGATTAAAATAGAGGTAAACCATGGAAAACTCTCAGGTGTCTATATTTCTACAGGAAAAAAATGAAACCATTAAAACAAAAGCTGGGAGCAAGTATAAGGGGCTACTTAATTATAAGGATGTTCTAAGCATAAATAATAATGACAGAGTGGAGCTTAATTTCTCTTCCCTTGAGTGTGGCCTGGATTTAATGACTCACTTCCGAACAATAGAGTGTGCAAAGGCAGAAATAGGAGCTCTGCTAGTGGAGGAACCTTGCAGATGCCACCTTAACCAAGTGATCAAGGTTGACATCCCCAGGAATAAGTCATATTGATACAGTGTCTTCTCTGGGTTTGGTGTGATGAGAAGTCACCTCAGTGGTAGACATCCCCCAAACCCATAGTCTCAGTCTAATCTTGAGAAAATACCAGACAAACTCAAGTGAGGGATATTCTGTAAAATACCTGGCCAGTGCTTTTCAAAAATCTCAAGGTCCTGAAAAACAACGAAAGACTGCCACAGAGCAGAGGAGATGAGGGAAACATGATGACTAAATGCAGTGTGTTGTGAATTGGATCCTGGAACAGAAAAAGAGGACTTTAGTGGAAAGTAGTTTTGACAAATCCTCCCTGGTTATGTAAGATGTTAACATTAGGGAGAGCTGGGTGAAGTATATATGAGAACTATTTGTACCACCTTTGTAACTTTTCTGTAAAAGTAAAATTACACCAAAATAGAAAGTTTATAGAAAATAGTAATGAGAGAAATCACAGAAGAAAGGGTTGGATGATTTGAAATTTAAGACACGTTAGTCAAATTAGAGGCAATAACACTGGAAAAATATTTGTCCCAGATTTTAGACAAAGGACTGATATTCTTAATATAGAATATACTTGTACAATTTAATAAGAACATACTAACATCTCACTGGAAAATGGCCATTGATCATAATTCACAGAAGAAACACTGTGGCGAATAAATATGACAGCCAGTTCAGTCTCACCAGTAATTAAGGAATTGCCAGTTACAGCAGTATTGAGAACATTTTCACCAATTACATGGAAAAATGATAGTATTCAATTCTGAAAAAAGGAAGTGGAAGAATTATAGATTGGTACAGCCTTTCTGGAAAGCAGTTTGTCAATATAGGAATTGAGTTTAAAAAAGATGCACATTGGGACTTCCCTCGTGGCGCAGCGGTTAAGAATCTGCCTGCCAATGCAGGGGACACGGGTTCGAGCCCTGGTCCGGGAGGATCCCACATGCCGTGGAGCAACTAAGCCCATGCGCCACAACTACTGAGCCCGCGTGCCACAGCTACTGAAGCCCGCACGCCTAGAGCCCATCCTCTGCAACAAGAGAAGCCACCGCGGTGAGAAGCCACGCACCACAACGAAGAGTAGCCCCTGCTCACCGCAACTAGAGAAAGCCTGCGCCTAGCAACAAAGAACCAATGAAGAACCAACGCAGCCAAAAATAAATAAATTAATTAATTTTTAAAAATGCGCATCATTTGTGCTTGTAATGTCACACTTACAAGATTTCTTTCCCAAGGAAATAATCAGATCTGTATACAAATTTTCTAGGACTGTTGATCACAGGGTTGTTGATAATGAAATACTCAAAACCCAAGTATCTAACAGTGAGGGAATGACCTAAAAAGTTTTGGCATACCTATGGAATAGAATGGAGTCATTAAGTATCATGACATAGATAAATAAAACAATGAAAGCAAGATACAGTTTGTGTATTTCCTCTGATCCCAGACTGTGTGCCTGTGTACAGCTGTCTCTCTTGAAAGGCTGGCAAAGAAATACAGTCATGTAAAAAAATAGCTACCTGACCTTGGGTGGTAAAGAAAGGATTTTTTAAAAAAATTTTATTGGAGTATAGTTGATTTACAGTGTTGTGTTAGTTTCAGGTGTACAGCAAGGCGAATCAGTTATACATATACATATATCCACTCTTTTTTTAGAATCTTTTCCCATATAGGCCATTACAGAGTATTGAGTGGAGTTCCCTGTGCTATACAGTAGGTCCTTATTAGTTATCTGTTTTATATGTAGTAGTGTGTGTATGTCAATCCTAGTCTCCCAATTTATCCCTCCCCCCTCTTATGATAACCATAAGTTTGTTTTCTACATCTACTTCTGTTTTGTAAATAAGTTCATTTGTGCCCTTTTAAAAATTTATTTATTTATTTATTTATTTAATTTTTTTTTTCGGTACGCAGGCGTCTCACTGCTGTGGCCTTTCGCATTGCGGAGCACAGGCTCCAGATGCGCAGGCTCAGCGGCCATGGCTCACGGGCCCAGCCGCTCCGCGGCATGTGGGATCTTCCCGGACCAGGGCATGAACCCGTGTCCCCTGCATCGGCAGGTAGACTCTCAACCACTGCGCCACCAGGGAAGCCCTGTGACCTTGTTTTTAGATTCCACACATAAGCGATATCATATGATATTTGTCTTAGGAATAAGTGAAGTAAGTCTGACTTACTTCACTCAGTATGACAATCTCTAGGTCTATCCAAGGATGGTTTTTATTTGCTTTATACCTCCCTGCGTTTTCAAAATTGTCTATTGTGAGTATATGTTACTGGTGCCATCAGGGGAAAAAATAACACTGCAAGAAATGTGGGTAATGAGTTTCTTTCATCCTTTGTGCTGATTTAATTAAGAGCATGTCACAGTTCCATTTTGTCCTGTAAAACATTGTTTTCCTCTCTCCACTAGGAAGCTCCTCAGGGTGCTCCCCCTGCCACACGAAAACTGGGGTGCTCTGGTTGACGAGTGGTGCTGTCACCCCAACCCCTTTGCTAATAAGCCACTTCATCCACAAGAGAATGACTGTTTCACTGGAGACTGTTTCTTCTTGGTGAATTTAAGACGTGATTTACAGCAGCCGAGACCTGAAGTAGCCCCAGTGGAGACGCGCTGTCTTTCTTCTGAGAACCATTTAAAAATGGTAATATATCTTTCAAATTAAATGCTCATTTAGAGGTTGGTTTAGAAACTGCTTTCTCCAATCTTTTCTTCATTCAGGGCATGTGACAGACAGTTCTAAAGACCAAAATCCATGATTTTCAGTTGCCTTAATCATCCAGCTCTGCTCTTTTGTTATGGAAAAAGCATGTGGCGGCCTTAAACCAAAACAGTCAACGGGGGGTGGGGGGTGGGCGGGGCAGGGGGAGGTGGCAGGAGGAAGAAGGGGAAGAGGAGTTCTTCCCGCATAGACTTGGGAGTGTTACCGTTTTACAAACCAAAATGCCCTCCTTCCTTGCTTTTAGGACAATATTCCATAATCCACGTACATTTTATCCCCACAGTCTGATTTACGTTAAATGGGTTCTTTGCCTTCAGGATGCGTACTGTCCTGATAGGTCCAGGTATTTTCCTGTATCTTCCCATAGTCTAGACTTCTGCTGGTGTCATACAATCAGATGCCATCAAGGCAAAAGGGGGACTGGAGGAGCCCAAGCACGGAAATAAAGCTCTGGCTGCAGGTTCCAAGTTGATTCCTAAGGAGCGAGGTCAGGCAGCTCCTGCACTCAAAGTTGCTGGAAGGGGAAGGCACTGCGGAGAACAGGTGGTTTACCTTATTTTAAAAGAAAATCAGTGCCATTGACTTGGCCCTTGTGAGAAATCATTCCCTGGATGGCAAGTCAATACTGATGTGATTTAAAAAGTTAAGAAAATCATTGCCAGAGAACCTTCATTTTAACATCTGATTATTGGTAGGAACAAAAGCATTGTGTGTTAAATTTCATTTAGAACACATTTAATTTTTGTAATGAGAACTGAGCCACTCTAGGAAACACGCAGCAGTCCGCAGCCCTTAGGTTGTCAGCTAGTTTATGGAACTATTTTCTAATTTGCGGGAGATTAAGGAGGTTTGTCAAATATCGAGGTTAAGCTGTTATCTGTTTAAATTTTTTAAGTATCTCATCTTTCACCATAAACACAAATCCCTTTACCTTTAGGTTTATTTAAAAGTATAGTACTTTACTGTCTCTAGCTGTCCTCCTCTCCCCCAACTCTTTCTCTGTATGTATCTTTACCTTTAGTAAAATCATAACCATTCATATTTCCTTTGATCTCCACTGCTTTTCAGTGTGTATATGTGTGTGTGTATTAGATAATATATATTAGATAAAATGTATGTATATATTCTAATGTGTATATATAAATATGTATAAGAATCCCCCCCCCAAATTCTAGTGCTATAGCCTTCTATATTTTTAAAAGATAAATGGTAAGTACATAATATAAATCTATGGTATAAGTACATTTAATATGGTTAAAGTAAAATTATATATATATATATATATATATTTTTTTTTTTTTTGCGGTATGCGGGCCTCTCATTGTTGTGGCCTCTCCCGCTGTGGAGCACAGGCTCCAGACGCGCAGGCTCAGCGGCCATGGCTCACGGGCCCAGCCGCTCCGCGGCATGTGGGATCTTCCCGGACCGGGGCACGAACCTGCGTCCCCTGCATCGGCAGGTGGACTCTCAACCACTGTGCCACCAGGGAAGCCCTAAAATTATATTTTAATCTAAATTTCTATACTAGTACTTTATGTTTTATGTATTTTGACTTTCATTTTTATGATTAAGCTATAAATTTTTTAAATGTTTGGAAGATACGAGAAGACGAGTGGGAAAGATTAAATAAGAAAAACCATGAGTTTCCTTCTTTCAGATGAACTCTGCATTCTGTATGGAAGTAGATTCCTCACATTTATGTCTTTATCAATTATATGATGCCATTTATAAGAATTCCTCTTAATTGTGGATGGCCATCCCACGTGTTAAAGGAAGACCCTTCATATTGAGACATTACAGTTTTTTAAGTATCAAGGAGACTGTGGGAAATTACCATCATGACAAGCTGCTGTTAACAAGATTGTTTTCAAGGTAGCCTAGATGAAAGTTTCACTTTAATTGCATATTACTGCAGTTGAAAGAATATACCTGTGACCAAAATAGTAATGTAAATTTGGAGGGACTCCTTAAACAGTACTCTCAAGGGTCTTGTGGGAACAAGGCTTCTCTGTGCTATTGAAAACCTGTTTCTCATATCACACAGTCTAGCCATCTAGCAGGGTTTTGAAATGTCACATGGTGACACAGCATCCTAATGGTATCTCTTGGGAAACATTTTTTTGGCGAGACAATATCAAGGGTCCTTAGAAATGGAAGCAACACAAAGGAAAATAAAAACGAGGACAGGAGGCTGATTCACCTCTCTGAGCAGCGGTGCCGTGTCGCAGATATATTGATTTAATTAGTCCACAACAATGTCTGTCTTTCATGTTTGCTCTGTAGAGTTCCTGCACTGCTAGGCTGCTGCTTTGCGCAATTCGCTTTATTATTTCCTTTAAGCATAGGTCAAGAAAAATGCACTGCAAAGCAGAGTTTCTCTTTAACAGAATTAAAAGCATTGTAATATGTTAATTTAAAAGGTCAAGACTGTTTAGCTTATCAGACATTAATGGTGCATTCTGTGTGTATTCTGAGTGTTTGGTAGGAGTAATTTCTGCCTCTGCTTGTGAGAGATTATAAAAATCTATTTTAATTGTGGAAAAGGATTTTAAGAGATAACTCACCTCACCATGAGAAATGTATATTTAATTCTGCTTAAGGAGTATTTGACAATTAATTACTCCAAAGCATATCTCTTGAACTAAAATATTCATAAATGACAGAAAAACAGCATAAACAAAGTCCAACACTTATTCCTTTCCCTGAATAACCCCGTATGTGTACAGTGTGTTATTTGTGCCTCTGTGAACGTGACAATATATATCTTTGCTTTTCAAAAGACATCTATTGAATATTTGTTATTTCACAATATTTTTCATTTCACCATAATAAAAATTTTGCGTCTTACAACAGGTTGATAAAGGTGGCACCTCAGTCTTTTATAAGATTCATATTATTATTCTAGACGAAAGTATAGCCACACTGATGACTTCAACCTATATTTTAAAGAACAAATGAAATTGAACATTGGTATTTTAGCTGGCGAGTATGACTAACAGTTTTACCTTTTTTTTCATTATTTGTTTGTCTTGTTAAATCCATGAGGGTCTCTCTTTTTTTTTTTTCTTAGAATAATGTGTTGAACTTTGTAAACATTCCCAAACGTAAAAAATCGAATTATGAACTTCCGTATAATAGTCATCTTGATTCATAAAGTATGCTTCATCTGCCCATTTTATTTTTAGTTTTTCGTTGAAGTGCTTTAAAGCTAATCCCAGACATTATATCATTTCACCCATATGGATTGTTCTTTTTCACATGAACACAGTGTCATTTTCACACCAGACAAAATGAACACTCGATGGTACAATACCAGGCCATATATACATTTTACAAATTTTATTAGAAGTATCTTCTGATGTCATTAAAATTTGTTTGAATCAAAATTCACACATTTGGTTGTTTGAGGTAATTTATTTTTATATTGATCAGATTTTAAAATCCCAGTTACCAATGTGTTGAAAAGGTAGAATTTTATTTTCAAAACCAACCAACAAAACCCACTTTTTCTGCTTCATTGAAAGACAAAGCAAAATGTGCTATAAGAGCAATGATAAATGAAATACATAACAGCACCTGACAAAAAATTTTTTGCTTCGAATAGAAAAATCCCTTCTTCTTAAGCATTACTACTCCAATAACCTGTATTAGTTTTTAGTAAAGCCCTTAGTATTTGGTAAGATTTAATGAGGATGGTCTGATTTAACTTGTATGAAATAGGATCCTTTAAAAAGTGTCTTTAGTACCAATTTGGAGCCATACAGATAGCTTTTATTGTAAGAAAGCATGAACCTGCCAAAATGTGAAACTTTACAGTTGAGCATGCTTGGTTTCTAAGCTGTCATCTTCCTGTAACCTTGCCTGGACCTAAACAAATTGGCACCTGCCTTGGTTTCTATGTCTGTGGCTTTTGACTTTTTTTTTTGACCTCTAACTACAGTAAGAACTGTATAGTAATTTTTTTACATTAAGATCTGATAATGCACACACAGAGACACAGATGCACCTCAAGTAGATGTTTCTTAAAGAACTACTTACATTATGTTTGAAGCACGGTGATGTTTTCTGTTCCATTCTATTTCGTATTTCTTTAAAAATTCAGGGTGCCACCCACTGAATTGATTCTATGAATTAGTTTGGAAAACACTTGGCATAGTGCTTAGGAAGCATAAGCTCTAGCATCAAAGGGACCTGGATTTAAATATCAGCTCTATTAGTTACTAGCAGCACATCCAGACAAAAAAATCTATACCTTTGTGGGAAGGTATGGGTTTTCTGCCCATTTTTTGAATGACGTGTGCCAAAAGTGTATTTTATTTACGTAACATCTGCCTAGCGGTTACCCATGTGCCAGGGACAGTGTTTTACAGCACTCTGTTTTAGATCCTAATAAACAGCTCTATGAGTTAACACTACTGTCGATTTCATCTTACAGATGAAGAAACCAAAGCAGGTTAATTAACTTGCCCATGATCACACGTCTAGTAAGTAACAGAGCTGGGATTTGAACTTAGGAAGTCTGGCCCCAGACTCCAGGCTCTTAACCACCATGATATTAATTATAATATCATCTCTTATAACAAACTATAAGTCAGTAAGATTTTTTTATTAAGGTGTAATTGACATTTTACTACTTTTAGGTATATAACATAGCGATTCAGTATTTGTATGTACTTCAAAATGATCATGACAATAAGTTTAGTTAACATCCATCACTGTACTTAGTTACAGAACTTTTTTTTCTTGTGATGAGAACTTGTAAGATTTACTAAGGCAACTCTCAAGTATGCAATACAGTATGGTTAACTATAGTTGCCATACTGTACATTACATCCCCATGACTTATTTTATAATTAGTTTGTACCCTTCGACCACCTTCACTCATTTTTGCCCACCCCTGCCAACCTCTGTTCTGTATGTCTAAAAGATTAGTCTTTTGTTTTCTTAATAATTAGGTGACTGCTAGCTGTTTTAATCTGTATCCCCAATGATAAAGTTGGATTTTCAAAGTTTAACAGTGTTTCAGGAATTTGTTCCAGAATGCTGTCTTTCCAGGTACAATGCATATCTTAAATGGAAAAATAGAATTATATGAATGGGTTAGGTATTTTTAACTTCCAGTGGTGATTATGAATTATAGATTACTTTTACATAAGTTGCACTGGACTAGGAGTCAAAATAATATAGGTTCGGGCTTGCCTGGTGGCGCAGTGGTTGACAGTCCGCCTGCTGATGCGGGGGACATGGGTTCATGCCCCGGTCCGGGAAGATCCCACATGCCTCCGAGCGGCTGGGCCCGTGAGCCATGGCCGCTGAGCCTGCGCGTCCGGAGCCTGTGCTCCGCAACGGGAGGGGCCGCAGCAGTGAGAGGCCCGCGAACCGCAAAAAAAGAAAAAAAAAATAATAATATAGGTTCAAGTTCTAATTCTTCTGTTTTCTAGACACATGAGTTGGGGCAAGTCACCTACCCTCTCTACCTTTGTTGCCCACCATCTGCCTATTCTAAATGATGTTTGGAGGTGCTTTTTAGAAATGTAAGATGCTTCTTGTTCAAATTACTTGGCAACGTGTAGATTATCAGGAGCTGACTAGTTTGGAAAAATCATTCTGTTCATTTTGTGTTTAGACTTGGAAAAAGTGATCTCTGTGCATGTGAATTATGCATACAAGCTAAATGTATTCCCAGTATTTAGTAGATGGCAAAATAAAATGTAAAGTTCAATGTATACTCTAGAGACCATGTTAAAATTATATATTCCTTTTAAGAAAAGCTGAATGACATTTAAATGACATTTTTCTGTTCTACAGAAACCAAAGGCAAATACCAAAGTAATTTGTAAGCGTTGCAAGGTAATGTTGGGAGAGACTGTGTCATCAGGTAAGAATTTCATAATAAAAAAGCCAAAATGATTGCCTTCTTGTTAAAAAAAAACAAAACAGTAGAAGAAGATTTTTATAGGAAATATATAGGAAAGATAGATGACTAATACATGTTGTAGAATTGATGCTTTTAAAAATAGAAATCAACTAATATATCATCCAGTATGCCAAGAAGTTTGTGTATTTTGACCTTTGTAAGTACATAGTACTGAGTTTTAAGCATTAAGAAGTTGGGTAATTTTCAGTATTTCATATCTTCTTTGTAGATATAAAGCAATAGTATAAAGCTGGTACTTGGGTCTATCTTAAAGAAGATTGGAGCTTTTTTCTTAATACAGCTCCTCAGTCAGAAGAATTGGTTGCCAGAGATGATGGAGGAGATGCTGGCTGTTGTGTGCCTCAGGGCTGTGTTTTGAGGCTTGGAGGTTGGGGGTGCAGAGAACCTGTTGAAACATTCTGAGTTTTATACTCCTTCCTTGTTCTTTTTTCCTATAGTGTTAATTATATTTTACATAAAGCCTATGTTATACGACTTTCCAATATAATAATGAAATCCTGATAATTAAAATGCATCACTCTTTAAAGATATGGTTTAAAAATGTCTAGAGAGCTACAGCATGCTGTGTTAGCTTTGTGGGTGAAGAATAATTGTTTTTAATAGAATTAATTAGAAGATGTGAGTTAAGTGAAACTATTGTACTCAAGGGAAGGCAGATGGTGGCATTTTTTTTGTTTGTTTTTTAAGATCATCAGAGTCTCATAACTTGCTCTGAGAGAACAGAAAAGGAAGAATGAGTAGTAGTAAAGGATGCCACCCTGAATGTCATTTTTGGAGAATGAAAACAAGTCCCTTAAGCAATGACTTAGAAAATCTTAAGGCTTCCAGTTTAAATAAGGGTGAATTGATTTTTTTCATGCTTTTCTCTCCTCCCTGAAGCCCAGTTAAAATGTCAGTTAAGGAATAAAAAAAAAGGACATCCACAGAGACAAAGAGAAATGGGGAGGAGGCAACAGTGATGTGAACTAGAGGTGTAAGCAAACTTCTTTTGGAAGCTGTAGAGCTGAGACGGGTAGGAACACACTTGACAGTGTGGAGGAAGCTGCAACCTTGGTGTCTGCAGAAGACCATTTAGATAAGGAGTGAACCAGTTCTCACTGTAGATCCCCAGAACTGGCCAGAGTTTAGAGGTAGCAGGCAAGAGGGACAAGGGACTAAAAGCAGGATGATTAATGCAAAGTTTGTATGTGGAGCCATAAGATTCCTAAGACTCTTTCTCCGCTTGCAACTTGCTTATGCTCTCAAGGTAGGAGATTGGAGCAGCCTTTCTTGGAATAAGGGAATGGAAGTGTACTAACCAGAGAAAAGATCTGCAGACACTGATTCTCAGGGGTCATGTAACAACAAAAAAATGAGCTTATATTCAGCCATCCTACTCTCAACAAGCCTTATATCTACACACAAGAGCTCCCTCTCAGCATTTTACTACCTTACACTTAAATCTGAATAGATTGCTGAGAATCAGTAAACATTAAAAAGAGTCCAAAGCAAATACATAATCAAGTAAACAGAGTAGACGCATTGAGAAGAAACAAATTATGTATAAAACAGAAGAAAATCTTTTAAAAAACCATAATAAATGTCCTTGGAGAAATGAAATAATATTATCTCTATAATTCAGAGAATGTCGAATTAAAGATGTAATAGCTTGAAAAAACTAACCAAAGGACTGGAAAATGAAATTAAGGAACTATTTCAGAAATCAGGACCAAAAGACAGAGGTTGAAAATTGGAAAGGAAATTTCAAAAAAAAGATCATGTAAGTTTCCTGAGGATAGGAATATTGTCTATCTCATTTCTCATGATAACCACAGCACTTAGATCAATATCTGGCACATAGTGGGTACCCAGTAAATATTTGTTGAATGAGTGAATGAATTGAGCCTTTTAGGGCATCCGACATCTAGCTGGGAGAAATTCTAGAAAGAGAGAATAGAGACAACAGGGTGGGGGAAATTATCAAAGAACAGAAATACCAAAAACACATTAAAAAGGTATTTCCCAGAGCTAGGGCTTAAGTTTCTCAACTGAAAGAGCCCACTAAGTGTCTCATATAATTAATGGAGGGGTGACAGGGAAGCTACTTAAAGCCACGTAATTGAGTGATTTCCAAACGCCAAGGGTGAAGTTTCTAGAGAGAAAAAAGCAGGTAATGTACAAAGGATTAGGAATTACAATGGTGCTGAACTTCTTAATAGCTAGAAGACAATGAAGAATGCCCTCATAATTTAGAAGGAAAAAGATGTTCAACCCAGAATAATTCAATAGACAGTCAAACTGTCAGTCAGGTATGAAGATTATAAATACATATTTGGAAATACAGGGTCTCAAAACATGGACCTCAAAGTTACATTTTCCTTAGGAATCTACCATAGGGTATGCATCACCAAAACTAGGAATTTAACCTCAAAAGAGAAAGTGTGGGATTTGGGGAAACAGATTGTCCAACACAGGAGAATGAGGTAAGGAAGTCCCAGGGTGAGGGATGTACAGCAGGCATTACAGCCTGGATTGAAGCAAGGGGAGAGAAACTGTAATAAAGACTTTTTCAGTTATACACCGAAACTGGTAAATTTGTTGAGTTGTTTGACTACATGTAACAAATAATCTTGAGACAAGCCATTTCATCATATGGGAAGAATTAACTAAAGGTGTTTGGAAAAACTAAACACACGAAAAAAGAAAGCAGTTACGTGCTGCAGGAAAACAGAAGATTGAACAAAAAAGGAAGCACTTCCATGGTATCATTATGGTCACAATAATGTGAACACTGATTATCAATTTAACCAAAAATCTTTATGATGTAATATATAAGTATATTAGGGGGTCATTGTATGTGAATATGTGTGTGGGGTGATGTAAGGGAGCTATATCCACATCTACTCTAAAAGTAAATTAGTAGGACTCTCATTGCAATAATGGTGGCATAAAGAGAATAGATAGTTCTACGCTGTAGGAAACAAGTACTGAACTGTACAAGTTCAGAAGAACAGCTACTAGAAAATAACCAAAATGAAGCAATGATTTGAGAGGTGTAGTTATCAAAAACTGCTACTGCCTTGGGTTAGAATGGCAAATTTGTGACCTTTTTTTGCTTGGGATCATTGACATACTTCACACGCCCCCCCAAACTTGGGCAGGAGAAAAAAACACAGCTTTATTATCTATAGGTGGTAGGTTTGGTTCAGGGTAGGCAAAGGAGAAAGTAGAAATTTAAGAGGGATATTTTGGAAGCAAGAGGGCCGTGGAGGGGCTGAGCTGATAACTTAACCCGGCTCTGGCTGACTGCAAAACTATACGTGCATACAGTAGATGCCAGGGAGTCCAATAAGAATTGAAAGCTTGGGGAGACCAGAAAATTTGCTGTGGCTTTGATTGCATTCCTCAATTCACACACAACTTGGGCAGCAGAAGATGGAAGCCTTAATGGCTTGAGGCATTTGAGCAGAACCTCTCCCCAAATCTGCAGTCGACCAAACTGTGCAGAGATAGTGAATACTCTCTAGGGAGTCAGGCTAAACAAAACAGAACTGAGCAGAGACATTAGTGACTACACACTGTGGGAAGACATATTTCCTGGTTTAAGTCCAAGCTTGGTAATTGACCTATAAACCAATTACCCTTAAAAGGACAAAGCAAGGGACTTCCCTGGTGGCCCAGTTGTTAAGAATCTGCCTGCCAGTGAAGGGGACACGGGATCAGACACAGGTTCGAGCCCTAGTCCAGGACGATCCCACATGCCATGGAGCACCTAAGCCCGTGCACCGTAACTAATGAGCCTGCGCTCTAGAGCCCACGAGCCACAGCTACTGAGCCTGCGTGCCACAGCTATTGAAGCCCACACACCCTAGAGCCTGTGCTCTGCAACAAGAGAAGCCACTGCAATGAGAAGCCCGTACGCCGCAACGAACAGTAGCCCCCACTTGACACAGCTAGAGAAAGCCCGTGCGCAGCAATGAAGACCCAACACAGCCAAAAATAAATAAATTTAAAAAAAAAAGGACAAAACAAAATCCAGAATTGGTACAATGTATTACATACAATGTCCTACTTTCTTACAGAAATTATTAGCCATGCAGAGAAAGAAAAAGGAGTGACTCATACTCAAGGAAAAAGCACGACTCAATAAATAGGTGCTGAGTAAGCACAAATATTAAATTAGGAGACAAAGATGTTGAAGTAGCTAATTATAAATATGGCAAAGAATTAAAACAGGAAACCTCTTGAGTGAACTAATAGCAAATCTCAACAAATTGGAAACTTCAGAGAAAGAACCAGTTGGTAATTACAGAGCTGAAAAGTACAGTAACAAAAGAAAAATTCACTAGATTACTAAAACCTCATATTTGAGGTGACAGAAGGAAAAAAATGTTGAACTTGAAGATAGATGAATAGAAATTAACCAATCCAAAGAACAGAGAAAAAAAATCTCAAAATGGAGAGAATGTCAGATTTGTGGAAAAATATTAACTGTTTCAATAAATGTGTAAGTGAAGCTTTAGAAGGTGAGAAGAAAAAGAAAGGGTCAGGGAAAAAATGTAGGAAAAAAAATGGCTGAAATCTTGTCAAATTTGGTGAAACATTTTAACTTTTGGGTCCAAGAACTGCAGTGAATCTCAAGTAGGATAAACACAAAGAGCATTTCACCCAGGCACGTTGTGGTCAAAATGATAAAAGCCAGAGGTAAAGAGAGAATCTTGAAAGTAGCAAGAGAAAACAAAGCATCACATATAGGGATTTCATTAAGCATTAAGGCCAACTTCTTATAGAAGTAATGACGGCCAAAATACACTAAAATGAGATATTCAAAATGCTGCGGGAGGGGCTTCCCTGGTAGCGCAGTGGTTAAGAATCTGTCTGCCAATGCAGGGGACACGGGTTCGAGCCCTGGTCGGGGAAGATCCCACATGCCACGGAGCAACGAAGCCCATGTGCCACAACTACTGAGCTTGCGCTCTAGAGCCCGTGAGCCACAACTACTGAGCCCGCGTGCCACAACTACTGAAGCTCACATGCCTGGAGCCCGTGCTCCACAACAAAAGAAGCCACGACAATGAGAGGCCCACCCACCGCAACAAAGAGAAGCCCCCTCTTGCTGCAACTAGAGAAAGCCCATGCGCAGCAACGAAAACCCCACACAGCCAAAAATAAATAAATAAAATAAATAAATTTATTTAAAAAAATGCTGGGGGGAAAACAAACAAAAACACTTTTCATCTAATCTATATCCAGCAAAGCTCTGCTTCAAAAATGAAGGCAAAATAAAGACATTTTTCTATAAACAGATGGAAATAATGCATTACTAGCAGACAGTGCTAAGGAAAGTTCTTCAGGCTGACAATGCTAAGGAAAGATATGGTAATTGTAATCCATAGGAAGGAATGAAGAGCAAGATAAATGGAAAATGTGTGGGTTAATTAGCACAAAAGCAAACTCAAAAGAGGTTAGCATAAAATTGAAAAACACCTTTTCCCTGCCATTTTCCAGTTTTTTAAAAGTAGAACTTTTGATTGCTTTGAGAAGTAAGGACAGAAGTCAAAGACTACACAAAGTAAGAACCTAGTAGGTGACTGTACAAAAATATGAGAGCCTGAATGGCCGTACCATTCACCTTCACACAGTAAAGGTGAATCAGAAGTGAAACAAGCCTGTGGAATTACAGACAGGTATCCGTTCTTTGGGACATTAGGAATTTCAGAACTTAGTCTGCGTTGGCCTAGACATAATGCCATGAGCCTGGGAAAATCAAATGCAGATCACCTCTGGAGGAAAATACTTTCATTATAAAACTCATGTTATTCCCACAAATAATTTGGCAAGTACAGTGTTTACCATACAACCAAACATAAATAAGTACACAAGTAAACAACATCCATCCACAAGAACTAACAAAAATAGCAAACAATAGAAACAGACTTATGTTATTGGAATTATCAGATGTAAACTGTAAAACAACCATGCTTACTATTTTTAACAATACAAAAGACAGGTTTGAAGATATCAAAAGGAAAAGGAAACTATAACACTAAGCATATTTGGAAAAGAATTTCTAAAAAATTCTAAAAAATTTCTGAAAAATATAATTGATATTGAAAACTCAGTGGGCAGGTTAACAGCAGGTTAGGTACAGCATGGAGAATGATTTAATGAACAGAAGATAGATGAGAAGAAAAATCTGTAATCCAGCACAGAGACACAAGAAGGTAAAAAATATAGAAGAGAGGGTAGGAGATATAAAACACAGAGGAGATCTAATGTATGTTTAATCAGACTTCTAGAAGGAAAAGAGAAATAGAATAGAGCATAGGCAATATTTGAAGAGATAATTGCTGAGAATTTTGCAAAAATGATGAACAACAGTTTGTAGTTTGAAGTCCAATGAATTCTACTTAGATGAGGCCCAAGTAAGAGAAATAAAAAGAAGTCTATAGCTAGACACATCAGTGATATGGCAGAAAAATTAAAAAAAGAAAAGAAAATCTTAAAAGTAACCAAGGAAAAATGACATCACCTTCAAAGGAATAGCAGAAATGGAGGTTTGAAGACAGTGGAATGATAGTGTGCACAAAGGTTAAAGACTGCTAACCTAGGATTTTATATCAGGAGAAAATGTCCTGATATGAAAGAATCAAGACAAAGATAAATATATTCTCTGGCAAACAAAAGCTAGGTTAATTCAATTCTAATGGTTTGGTTTCTTATGAAAAGAAATTTTACCTGTATATTAAGTAAAAGAAAACGATCCCAGATAGAAAGTCTAAGTTCAAGAAGGATTGGTAAAGAAAGTGGTAAATATGTGGTGACACTAAATGAATGTTAACTGTGTAAATCAATAATACCTTGTGGGATTAAAATTATGGAATTAAATTATAGTTTAACAACAGCTGGGACAAAAGGGATCACTTTATAATGTTAAAAGTTTCAATTCTGCATCTAATAACATGACTTCAAAATAGTAAAGTGAAAAATTGGACTTCAAGGGGAAATGTATAAATTCATCATCATAACTCGAGATATATAATAATCTGTTAAACTTTTAAATTTGTTTTTTTGCCTTTTTCTGTGTGTTATACTGAGCAGTTGTAAACATTTGTAGAAAATCTACAAGGAACAACTTGCCATCTTATTAAAACAATTAAAAAATTGTTAGCACACCATTTTTAATGACTGTATATAATTATCTTGCCTAAATGTATAGTTGTTTATTTAATCCAACCATCCTCAATTTTTAGAAATTTCAGTATTTTTCTATTAATATTATAAGCCTCTTAATAGATAAATGTTACAGATATCTGTGAGTATTTCTTTGAGATAAATTTTTAGGCATTTAATTATGGTGTCAAAATATATAAACATTTTTAAGGCCTTCACCAAATGGCTTTCCAGAAATTTATTATTTGCACTCCTGACAGCAGAATGTAAGTGTATCCAGTTCTCCATATCTTCATTGCTGCTGCACTTTATCATTCAGAAATATTTTATTTATTTGATGCTGAAAAATATTTTAATTTCCATTTCATTACTAGTGAGTGAACATTTTTCATGGATTTTTTAAAAAATCCAAAATGGTTATGTTTATATTCAGTTCTATTAAATATTTAGTTTACTGTTTAAATTTTTCTGTAAATGAAGGACTCAGATAACCAGATTTGGTAACAATTGTACATTAATCGACTCAGTGAGATTCTGGGTAAATATCAACGTGAGGTTCACAGCTTCTGTTCATGGGGTTTAGAATACTGTGATTAAAAAGCCTTTTTCAGTGACTCCTAGTTTTGTGGCTACTCTGTAGAAATGAGGAAACCAAATGACTAATTTTTAGGTGAGTGGGCTTTGGCTGTGATGTGACTAGTTATTATGACCTTGCATACGTGTGAGCAGAGTCTTGCTGTACCGGGCTCATCTGGCCACGTGCTCTTCTAAAACAACACCGAGTTACCTGAAGTCTCAGACTGTCTCCTTGTAGCCATCATTGCTTTGTCTTCTGACACTAAGTCATTTTTGGAAAAGTTTTACTAAATAGTAATTGTACCAGTATAACGAATATTTGGTTTGGAATGTCTTAATTTGAAACCAGCATGTCCACAGTAGAAATATTAATGTATTGGGGAGATCTTTTAATATTCTTTTTTTTTGTTTCTAGAAACCACTAAGTTTTATATGACAGAGATAATTATTCAGCCATCTGAAAGAAATTTTCCCATCATACCAAGGTACAAATAGCTAATTAAGTGTGTTCTGTAATTTCACATGTAAGGAAAGATAGGTATTTGGGAATTATTAATTATAATTATTTATTATAATTATTTATTGTAAGTGATTATTTGGGAATTCATTTTTATTTATACCCCTCTTTGTTTGGAAAGGAAAAATAAAAGTCTTTGGAAAGGTTTTTAGGTAGTAGAACCAAACCACAGATATGAAAGATTTGAGGATTTATTGATGGTTTGCTTGCATAATGGTATAGACAAATGTGCTATTATAAATCTTCTAGTTCTGAAAGTTTTTTGTGTTTCTTTTTTTTTTTTTTCTTTGTGGTACGCAGACCTCTCACTGTTGTGGCCTCTCCCATTGTGGAGCACAGGCTCCGGACACACAGGCTCAGCGGCCATGGCTCACGGGCCCAGCCGCTCCGCGGCATGTGGGATCTTCCCCGACCAGGGCACGAACCTGTGTCCCCTGCATCGGCAGGCAGACTCTCAACCACTGTGCTACCAGGGAAGCCCTGTGTTTCCTTTTATGTGCTAGATACCCAAGGTTTTATGATACAATCATCAATAGGTTTTTGAGTAATTATTTCTGGTATTAATTTAACTTACTTGAAACATGGGTTAGTTTTTAAATGACTTGTGTGTTTTTAAAAAGAATGTTACTTAGCCACTCAATCCATTAGTGTTTCTTTTCTTAGAATCTTTTTAGTCTTGCAAATGAAAGTTAACTGTAGTATGTCTTTATTTCAGCTAATTTATTGATGTCTAAAAATTATGGCTCTCTGAATATAACCTTGAACTTTATCCTCCTATAAATACTTTGATTCTGTACCTCAGATCTGACACTCTGAGGGGATACAAATGGAAAACATTGGAGATAATACTGTCTAATGTTTGGGAGGAAATTTCTTACCTTCTTTTTTTTTTTTTTTTTTTTTTGCGGTACGTGGGCCTCTCACTGTTGTGTGGCCTCTCCCGTTGCGGAGCACAGGCTCCGGACGCGCAGGCTCAGAGGCCATAGCTCACGGGCCCAGCCGCTCCGCTGCATGTGGGATCCTCCCAGACCGGGGCATGAACCCGTGTCCCCTGCTTCAGCAGGCAGACTCTCAACCACTGCACCACCAGGGAAGCCCTCTTACCTTCTTTTTTAACTTAGTTATCCACTGTTGAATGTGCCGCAGCACAAATGGATTATTGACTTGTCTAACAGTATTTTTTTATTTAGTGGGAGGAATAGTTAGGTTTGGGGTGGAAAATGTATTAAGGATCAAAGAATGGGTTATAGAAAGACTGGTGCAAGCACAAATACATTACAGTCGATTAAAATTAGCACAGGTTGTGAGGGGATGGGCAGCATATAGAAGAGTCCAGCATGCACCCACCTCTGCCTTATAGGTGCCCTGTGGGTATTTAGACTTATTACGAGAGGCACATTGTGAAAACTGGGTTGTGTTCAAACAGGTCTCAGTTTGTACAGAGCGTTATTGCCCAGTGCCTGGTGGAACTCTCCTCTGCTAGAAGCACTTTTAGATTCACTCTTCAAGGACACGACGGCAAAGCGTACATCTTGGTAAGAAATGATTTCACCCAGCTTTTTGTAGCCTAGTAATCCAGGGTCTCAGAAATTCTTTGGTTTTTGTCATTCTTTTTTCTTAATTCTCGGGTCTAGAAAATAAATGATGAAAAATTGAGTTTTTAATCTCAGTTTAATTCACGAATCAAGTCCCCTTAATTGGACAAGTGATTTAAGTGCCTCTGCGTGCATACTAGGGATTTAGAGACAACTACAACCTGATTCCTCGGTAGAAGCTCATGCCACAAGGTGAAGTTTTTCTACTCTTAGTTTTTAATGGCTTTCTTGGTCAGCATAACACAATTCTGTCTTTCTCACTTTTTTCCCCATTTGATACTCTTATGGTTAAAATACGTTCTGTTGCTCCTGTTTTTGTTTTTATTGTTTTGTGTGTGTGTGGTAAGAACACCTAACGTGATCTACCCTCTTTACAGATTTTTCAATGCACAATACAGCATTGTTAGTTACAGACGCAGTGTTGTAGAACCGGCCTCTAGAACTTACTCACCTTGCCCAACTAAAACTTTATACCCTTTGATTAACAACTCCCCATTCTTCCCTCCCTCCAGCACCTGGCAACCAGCATTCTGCTTTCTGCTTCTATGAGTTAGACTATTTTAGATTCCTCATGTAAGTGGAATCATGTATTCTTATCCTGCTGTGTCTGACTTGTCTTATTTTTCATAATGTCCTTGAGGTGCATCTGTACTGTTGCATATTACAAGATTTCTTTCTTTTTAGAGGCTAAATAATATTCCATAGGGTTTATGTACCACATTTTCTTCATCCATTCATCACTGGTGGACAGTTAGGTTGTTTCTGCATCTTGGCTATTGTAAACAGTGCTGCAGCGAACATGGGAGTGCAGAGATCTCTTTGAGATCCTGATTTCAGCACTTGGATGCTTGAGAAGTAGTAGCAAGTTTTGGAGAAAAGGCTCCGCAGTTAGCAGAATCATCCCCTACACGTACCACAAGCATTTAATATTAAACTGCTCCTGTCAAAAATAACATTCTGCAGAAAACAATTGGGGACATAATGTGAAAATCCAAGATCGAGGGCCCCCGTCTCTTCTCTGCCTCCACACCTGCTTTATTCAACCAGTAAACATATATTGAGTACTTCTTATTTGAAAGACACTGTCCTGGGTGCACAAGATAGAACCAAAAATGCCTTTGAGGACCTCGCAAGCTAATAAGGGAGCATGGTAGCTAAAAGGAGAGAGGTATTGAAGTGATTATTAGGTGTTGCTTTGTGGCTGTCCATCCATCACAGGGACCCCATGCTTCTCTAATTCCAGATAATTTCTATTCAAAGCTGAAATATTTTCTAACTCAGATTGATACTAAGTATACCTCATAGTCCTAGTCTGAAATCAGTCTTTTTTTTTTTCACCTTTTTTTTCGGCCGTACTGCGCACCTTGCGAGGTCTTAGTTCCCTGACCAGGGATCAAACCCGTGCCCTCTGCACCTGGAAGTGCGGAGTCCTAGCCACTGGGCCATCAGGGAATTCCCTTAATTTCCTTTTATTGCAAAGTTTTCGAGTTGAAAATCAGGAGTAGGAACTTTTTAAACTTACTACTAATGTATATTTAAATTAAAAAAATTTTTTTCTATAAAAGTAATACAGTCTTGAACCACATTCTGACAACGTGAAGAACATAAAAGAAGTGGTAGTTCCCCTGTCCTGTCCCCTCTTCTGCCCCGCTGTGTCATACCATCCGGAGGTAATCATTAACAGTCTGACATGCGTACTTCATTCTTTTCCCTGTTTACAGTTCTATGTACATACGCCCACAGGTATTTGTAAAAATAACAATAATGATGTGATTAGCATTGTTCTTTAACATGCATTCTTCACACAACCAGGTATCATGAGGCTTGTTTCTTTGTTAGTGTAAATATGGATTGGACTCTTCCTAATGAGTAGAATTCCACTGTATGGCTGGTAAAGACAGTGCTGCAGGGAAAATCCTCTTTGCACATGTATTTTAGTACTTCAGAAACAGATCTTTCTCATCTTATGCAGTATTGGAATTTGTGTATTTTAAACTCTGATATTTTATATCACCTCTAAAAAGTTGGACTAATTTATCCCTTGTGAACATCCTTTATCCCTTATAGACATTTTTTTTTTTGCGGTACGCGGGCCTCTCACTGTCGTGGCCTCTCCCGTTGCGGAGCACAGGCTCCGGACGCGCAGGCCCAGCGGCCATGGCTCACAGGCCTAGCCGCTCCACGGCATGTGGGATCTTCCTGGACCGGGGCACAAACCTGTGTCCCCTGCATCGGCAGGCGGACTCTCAACCCCTGCGCCACCAGGGAAGCCCCCTTATAGACATTCTTGGTGCCCCCGCCCAGGTCCCCTCTCCTTGGCTGGTCCCCCCCTTTCCCATTGCTGAGAATGTTGCCTGCTCACGGCTCACGGTCGCCCTCTTCTCCAGAGACTTGTCCCATCCTGACAGATGCTGCCTGGCCTGGGAGTTTCCTGTCCTCTGCCGTCCCCCACCCCTGCCCTACTCAGCCCACTGCCGATGACCCGACCCTGGGCTACAAAACCTGCCATCTCCTGTCTCAAGATGGGACAGACTCTGTAGGTGGAATTCAGGCTTCAGAGCTCCCTGTGAGATCAGGCTGAGTCCACATTGTTGGCTACCCTGCCTTATCTTCTTGCCCTCTCTCCCTTTCTCCTGAGAGTATTTCCTCAGTGAATCAGCTGTGTCCAAATCCCAAAATAGTCTTCCATGAGCAACGTGTGGGAATACCTGCTCCAAACCCCTCTTCTGAGCTGACTGTTATCAATCTTTCTGTATTTGCCAATCTGATAAGTGAAAAGTGGTGGCAAAGAATTTTGCATTTCCTTATTACTAGTTATGTTAACATTTTAATATATTTATCACTTATTTTTTCTGTTTATATTCTGTTCAGTTCTGTTCATATTCTTCGCCTGTATTTCTCTTGGGCTGTTTTTTTTTCTCTTATTGATTGCTAGGAGCTCTATATATTATGGATCATAACTTTGTATGTATTAAATATTTTCTCCTAATCAGTTGTCTTTTCTTTAAAAACTTTGTGTTGTCAGTGGCTCTACCAAAGGTTATACTTTGAAAGTCTTACCCTACTTAAAAGTTATATATGTGATATTTTTTCTGGTGTTTTATAGTTTTGTCTTTTTTTAATGGTTTTGTTTTTGTTTTTTTGAGTGGTGGTATGAGGTCTGAATAGGGTTGTGATATTCTTGTACTTGGACTTTTCTCTCCATGTCTTTAGCTATGGCTTTTAAACTCAGACACTTTGGTGATTGAAGCTTTGGAAAGTTCCACAAGTATCAAAAAATTCCCTCTGTTGGAAGACTTATTGAAGGCCGATTCCAGTTCTGCCTGGAATGCTGTTAAGGTCCTCTACCAGCCATGCATCAAAAGCAGGAATGCAGAGTAAGTCATCCTTTTGTTCTCTCCCTCCACATTGGTTTTCGTTTCTGTTGCCACATTGGTGTTAAGAATTAAATGGGACTGTACCACTTCCCTACTTGATGCTCTGGCAATCATACTGCTACCCATTGTGCTTTAAAAATGGGTTGAATCATTACAGGTCGTCCATGCTAATGTGCAGAAAGCTTGCTTTTACTGAAAATAATTGGTCTTTTTTTTTTTTGTAATCTCAGCTGTCTGTACATATGGCTGCAGGACTAAATCAGGCTTCAACAGCTATGACTATTTACTGATAAACACTTTCCAGGCATTGGGATACAGTTGTGAACAAAACGCAGCCCCTGCCTCCTGGGGTTGTCATCCTCATAGGGAGAAAGAAAGCAGGCCATAAACAAAACAGACAAAACATCAAAAACTGATATGGCTCTTCCTGTAAGTCAGGAGCTCATCTGAGGGCTTCTCGCTCCTTTAAGCCCAACAACAACCCTGTGGGGTAGGTACACTTATCACCCCATTTTAAAGGCAAGGACACTGAGACACAGGTGTGAAATGTAAAGCAAGTTAGTAGGGTGTAGGAGGTTGGCATTTTGTACTGAAAAGTCAAAGAAGGTTCCTCAGATAAAATGATATTTAAGTGGAAAACTTGAAGGCAGTGAGGGAGTGAGCCATATCTGAGGAAGAGCATTCTTGGCAGAGGGAACAGAAAATGTTCTTATTTAAACAGATTGGAAGTTTATACTTGTCCTGTACTCTCTGATGGGTTTGATCAAATTTGTACTAAGAACAGAAAGATCCCAGTCTTCTTCTGGGAAGTAAATAAGAAATTTTAAAAAATTATTGCTTGTCTTTTCTTTTCTTTGAATTATGCAAGCAGTTCGAGTTATAAAATATTCAAACAGTAGAGACTTACATAAAGTAAACTGTGAAAGTTCTCCATCATGTCTCTCTCCAGAAGAAAAAAGTATGTTGTGAATTTTTCCACTTTTTTTCCATTTTGCATCTTAACATAATTTGCAGGATGCATGTGTATTTTTTTACACTTAAAAAAACAGAAAACAAAACAACAACACACTGTGTCTTGGAGATTCTTTCCATGTCAGTGCTTGACATTTTATGAAATGGATGTACTGTAAGTAATTTAACCATTTTTCTGTTGCTGGATATTTGGGTTATTACTTTTTTGCGGCTATAATTAGTATTCCACTGTATGTTGTATATTTGTTTTGCAATTATGTGTACTTTTTAATGAGATATTTCTAAAAGTAGAATCACTAAGTCAAAGGGTGTAACATTTAAAATTTAATAGGTAATATCAAATTATTTTGCAAAAAGGCATTGCAAATTTATACTCCCACATAAAGTTTCTATAAATGCCCATTTCCCTACACCCTCACCCAAGCTGCTACGTAGATTTTTGCCCATCTGATGCCAGTCTAAATGAAACAGATTCAGTTGACTCTCCTTGTGTTTTATTGAAGCATGATCAGAGAATATGGCTTATGTATTTGATGTTCTGGGGACTTTGTTGAGGGGTGTGTGTGCGTGGTGTGTACCTTTATGTATTTAGATTTATATAGTCAGATTTATTAAAACTTTTTATTCCTCTTTTTAATTTATTTGAAACGTGGATATTTTGAGAAGGGTATGTTAGATCTCATGCTGTGATAATGGAAAAGTCATTTTCTTCTGGTTTTGATGCCTGTTTTCGCAGTATATATTTTGAAGCTATGTAATTAGGTACATGAAAGGTTTGTGCCATAACGACTTGACTAATTGTGTATTTCATCAGTAAGATTTTTCTCTCCTTTAATTTTATGTTATTTTTCTTTAATTCTAATTTGATGTTATTATTGCTATATTTACTTTCCTTTTTAAAAAATTATTGATCTTTTTCCAATTGTGTTTTTTCAGTTGTGTGTTATTTTATCTTAGGTATATATCTTATTAACATTAACCTTGTAAACAACATGTAGCTGGATATTTTAAAACTCCAATGTGACAGTCTGTTTATTTTAATAGTAAACTTAATTAATTTACATTTACTGTGATTACTGATGTAGTTGAACTTAGTCTGCTAACTTTTACATTGGTTGGCTTCTCTGTGTCATTTCTTTCCTGTAATGATTTGAATGTAAAAAAAAAAATCTATTTCAGAATGATTTTTAATGGTTAGCCTTAAATTTTTTTTTTTTTTGCGGAACGTGGGCCTCTCACTGCCGTGGCCTCTCCCGTTGCGGAGCACAGGCTCCGGATGCGCAGGCTCAGCGGCCATGGCTCACGGGCCCAGCTGCTCCGCGGCATGTGGGATCCTCCTGGACCGGGGCATGAACCCATGTCCCCTGCATCGGCAGGCAGACTCTCAACCACTGTGCCACCAGGGAAGCCCTTAAATTTTTAATATGTATCCTTATACTTGTTTTTCAAAGCTGTCAATATCTAGATTTATCTAGTATCCATTGTCTTCACCAAAACAAGAAACGACTCTTAACAGAGTTTCACATTCACTCTCTTGCTCCCTCCCGAATGCACTCTCTCCCTTTCTGATTCTGATGATGGTGGTTGTTTCTTCTTAAAGAAGTATCAAGCCAAAGCTCTACCCCTTTTGCTTACTTCTTACTTATACTCGTGCATTATGACCATAAATGTTTTTATTGTGTAAGTCTGTTTCCATAAAAACATACAGGATTGCTTGATGGTTTTAAAAATATTTACAAATAGTATTACATTGTATGTATATTTTTATAATTTTTTAAACTCATGATTCTTTGTTCCAATTGTTTGATTTGATAAAGTCCAACAACTCTTTTAAACTTGGACTGTAGTCAATCCTTGAATATCTGAAAATGTCTTATACCTATTTTGTCTCTCTGAAAACCTTTAGGATTTTCTCTTTATCCTTGATTTCTAAGATTTCTTTCAGAGGTGTCTAAATGTAAGTGTTTATTCAAGATTTTCTCTAATGTCATAATCTGTCCTCAGTCTCTGTGAGAATCATAATTATACTTAAAAGTCTTCTGTTTTTTCTATTAACTCTTGTTCCTTGGATATTAACTCTTCTCTTTTGGAAAAAAAGAAAAAAAAGCATTGTGTTTGGTACTGCCTTTCATGGTGTTGCTTTTCCCAAATGTTTGATGATTTTACTGGAATTCCTGCACCGGGCTGTAAACTCCAGGTGAGCCAGGACCTTGATGGTCTTACTCATCACTCCATCTAGATGAGTGCTCGTAGAAGTGCTCAAAACGTGCAATTTATGTTTACGTCTATGAAACATTTGTGAAGTGAATCACACATAGTTTTCTGCTTGTCCTTGTATTTGATAAGTAATGTTCATCTATTGGTGACTGTTTGTTCTTGTTACCATAGCTTGCCTTTACAGACTGGTGAATGAGAACCCAAAGGAGTTACTAGTCTGGATGTGCCCGTTTTTGGACAACTTTTGGGTATCATGAAAAAGGAAGTGATTGTAGCTTTAGTTATGGTGGTGAACCTTGTATTCATTATTGTGAAGGATCTTTGCACTGCCTTTCTTCAGGAGTGTTAACAAGGAAGCAGTGCACCTGTCCCATCATTTCATGTATTTTTAACAAATCCCTGTGACACTGGGATGTAATGGACTATAAATATATAGTCCATTGTATTCTGCTGTGTTTATTAGTGGACTTTTTTTTAACTCCATGTGTCTTGGGGATGAGTTGACATCCAGTAAATGAATTTATTACTTCAGTTTGCCTGTTCTATAAACCTACTTCTGTTGTGCTTTTCCTCCTCCTACTGTTTGCCTCTGGGTCCTCCAAAGGTGGGGAGGAAATTTCTCAGGTTGAGTAAGCATCATGTGAGTTATTTACTTTTGTCTTTTAAGGACATTCATTTCTTTCTTTTGGGGCATGACAGAGCAAACCATAGACTCCCTGGCATATTTTTGGCACATGGGGTGGTATATTAACTATTTTAGTCCAATCGGCTAGAATTTTTTTCCTAGTGGAAGTGTGGATTGCCAGATGGCAGTCTAAAAGAGGAAAATCGCAAATGTAACTATGGTTTTATTTCCTTGAGCACATACAAAAACGTGGCATGTAATATTCTTAGAATGTTCTTTCTAGCAATAGACACATGTCTCAACATTTTGAAGTCTATTGTCTTTTATTTAATCCCCCTCACCCTACCCACCCCCAGCCAGAGTTATCTTACAACTCACATTCTTTAGTTTGCATATCAAAGTTTAGATCCTAAATATTAACTTTCTAGCTTTGGACTCTTTTAAGTTCACTTCTGCAGTTTAATTCTGCTAATTCAGTAATTCACCTGTGGCCTCATAGTCTCTAAATTGGGGGTAATTTTGCCCCTCAAGGGACATTTGGTAATGTCTGGAGATATTTTTGGTTGTCACAACTTGAGGGACCACTGGCATCTAGTAGGAGGTGGAGCTGGGGATACTGTTAAACATCCTGCAGTGCACTGGCGCCCTTACAACAAAGAATCGTCCAGCCCCAAATGCCAGTAGTGCCAAAGTTGAGATACCCTGTTCTAGATTATCTCCTGAAATCAGGCTGTGTCTACCTTTTCCCTCCGGGGGTCACAACCCACACTTTTCTTGAAATGGTATTTAGACCAGCAAATAAGGGAAATTTTACTGTGTCATGAGTTAAAATATCTATAATCCCACATGTTAACTTTGGTTAGAATAAAACAGGATAAGTGGTAAAATATAGTGTAACTATTGCTACACTTCTCTCTTTTTTGAAATGGGGGGGCAAACGTGAAGAATAGATGTATTTTTGTTAAACAATGACAAAGGATTTCATAGATATCAAGTCCTTTGTTCTCATATTTTTAAGAGAAGAGATCTTAGGGGAATGCATTCATTAAGTGCAAATAAGTGGGTTTTTTTTTTTTTAAGCTAAACTGAATTCTCTTTTGTATAAGTTATGTAAGTCCTAATATTGGTAGTGGTTCTTTCCACCTTTTTCGAAAGATACAATATCTGATTTAGGAATCTGGAAAAT